GTATATTATCATCTCAGTGTCTTATCTCCATCAAATAGAGACTTTCTCCTGAGAACAAGCTCCTAGAGAACAGGGACTTAGTATCGTTCATTATTGTTCATTGCTATTATGTCTGGACCATTGAAAACAATCAGTAAATATTTTTTGAATTAATTTGATTTTTTAATTATTGTTTTAGGTGAGAGTATTTCATGAGATACTTTTTTCCCCTAATTTCATCGGAGGAATGAAATCTTAGCGTTAATTTTGGAGATTCATTGCTATTGTCTCCATCCATATTGATTATTTTTGAGATTAGAATTTGAATGATTAAAAAAAAGAATGTGAATGATTAAAAAGCCATTCCTATTTGTGTCCACTCTTTTTTTCTTAAATAGTTTATTGTCAAGTTGGTTTCCATATAACACCTAGTGCTCATTCCACAAGTGCCCTCCTCCATGCCCATCACCCCCCTTCCCCACTCCTCAATTTGTTCTCAGCATTCAAGAGTCTCTCATGGTTTGCCTCTCTCCCTCTCCCCAACTATTTTTCCCCTTCTTCTGCCCCACGGTCCTCCGTTAAGTTCCTCCTAATCCACCTATACGTGCAAACATATGGTACCTATCCTTCTCTGCCTGACTTATTTCGCTCAGCATAACATCCTCAAGTTCCATCCATGTTGCTACAAATGGCCAGATTTCATTCTTTCTAATTGCCATGTAGTATTCCATCGTATAGGTAAACCGCACCTTGATCCACTCTTATAGTGGGATAGTACAAACTTTAAAGGAGTATGAGGAGAGATGGGTCAAAGAATATAAACTCTCAATTATAAAATGACTAAGTTATTGGATCTAATGCACAAGTTGATGATTATAGTTAATAATACTGTATAGCATACTAAAATTTGCTAACAGAGAGGATCTTAAATGTGTTCACTGCACCAACAAGTCAAAAAAGGTAGTGATATGAGGTGATGGTTATGCTAATTAGCTTGATTGAAGTAATCAGTTCACAATGTATACATAAGTCAAACCATACACTGAACACCTGAAGTATACATAATTTTATGTGAGCTATACCACAATAAAGCTGGAAAAAATTAAAATACATACTCATAGGCATGAATCATTTTATTTCACTTTGCAGATAGTGCAGCTTTTATAAATTGAAGATTTATGGCAACCCTGGGTTGAGCAAGTCTATTGGCACCATTTTTCCAACAGCATTTGCTCATTTAGTGCCTGACACATTTTGGTATTCTTGCAACATTTCAAACGTTTAATTATTATTGTATTTGTTATGGTGATCTGTGGTCAGTGAGCTTTGATGTTACTATTGTAATTGTCTGGGGGGCCTCATCTACAGTACCCACATAAGATAGGGAACTTATCAATAAATGTTGTGTGTGTTCAGACTGCTCTGCTGACCTACTGTTCCCCCATCTCTCCCTCTTCTCAGGTCTCTCTATTCCCTGAGACACAACAATACTGAAATTAGGCAAATTAATAACCCTACAATGGCTTCTAAGTGTTGAAGTGAAAGGAAGTGTACCACATCTCTTACTTTAAATCAAAAGCTAGAAATGATTAAGTGTAGTGAGGAAGGCATGTCAAAAGCCAACAGAGGCCAAAAGCTAGGCCTGTTGCACCAAACAGCCAAGTTGTGATGCAAAGTATAATTTCTTTAAGGAAATTAAAAGTGCTACTCTGTGGGCGCCTGGGTGGCCCTCTTGGTTAAGTGTCCAACTTCAGCTCAAGTCGTGATCTCATGGTTTGTGAGTTTGAGACCCACATTGGGCTCTGTGCTGACAGAATGAAGCCTGGAGCCTGCTTTGAGTTCTGTGTCTCCCTCTCTCTCGCTGCCTCTCCCCTATTCACACTCTGTTTCTCTCTTTCTCTCAAAAGTAAACAAATGTTTAAAAAAAGGTTTTGTAGAGTGCTATTCTAGAGAATACAGGAATGATAAGAAAGTGAAACAGCCTTACTGTTGATACGAAGACAGTTTTAGTGGTCCAGGAAGAAGATCAGACCAGCCACAACATTACCTTAAGCCAAAGCCTAATCCAGAACAAGGCCCTAATAACTCTCTTCAACTCTATGAAGCCTAGGAGAGGTGAGGAGGCTTCAGAAGAAAAGTTTAAAGCTAAATGATGCTGGTTTCTGAGGTTTAAGGAAAAAAATCCATTTCCATGACATAAAAGTGTAAGGTGAAACAGCAAGTGCTGATGTAGAAGCTACAGCCAGTTACCCGGATCTAGCCAAGATAACTAATGAAGGCAGCTACACTAAACAATACATTTTCAATGTAGAGGAAGTAGCCTTCTTTTGGAAGAAGATGTCATGTAGGACTTTCATAGGTAGAGAGGAGAAGTCAATGCCTGCCTTCAAAGCTTCAAAGGACAGGCTGACACTTGTTAGAAGCTAATGCAGGGGCGCCTGGGTGGCTTAGGCAGTTGTGTCCGACTTCGGCTCAGGTCATGATCTCACAGTTTGTGGGTTGGAGCCCCGTGTCGGGCTCTGTGCTGCCAGCTGGCTCAGAGCCTGAAGCCTGGAGCCTGTTTCAGATTTTGTATCTCCCTCTTTCTCTGACCCTCCCCTGCGCACACTGTTTCTCTCTCTCAGAAATAAATAAAACATTTAAAAAAATTTTTTAAAAAGAAGCTAATGCAGCTGGTGAGTTGAAGTTGAAGCCAGTACTCATTCATTATACCAAAACTCCAAGGGGCCTTAAGAATTATACAAAATCTACTCTGCTTGTACTGCATAAATGCACCAACAAAGCCTGGATGACTGCACATCTGTTTACAACATGTTTGCTAAATATTTTAAGCCCACTGTTAAGACATACTGCTCAGAAAAAAAAGTTCCTTTCAAACTATTACTGCCCATTGGCAATGTACTTGGTCATGCTAGGGCTTTGATGGTGATGTAGAAGGAGCCTAATGCTGTATTCATGCCTGCAGCCCATGGATCAAGGAGTAATTCTGACTTTCAAGTCTTATTATTTAAAAAATACATTTCATAAGGTTATAGCTGCCATAGATTCCTCTGATGGGTCTGGGAAAAGTAAACTGAAAACCTGGAGAGGGTTTACCATTCTAGGTGTATTTTTGTTTTTAATGTTTTATTTATTGTGGAGAGAGAGAGAGAGAGAGACAGTGTGAGCAAGGGAGGGTCAGAGAGAGAGGGAGATACAGAATCCGAAGCAGACTCCAGCCTCTGAGCTGGCTGTCAGCACAGAGCCCGACGCGGGGCTCGAACCCACAAACCGTGAGATCATGACCTGAGCTGAAGTCGGACGCTTACCTGACTGAGCCACCCAGGGGCCCCCCATTCTAGGTGTATTTAAGAACATTTATAATTCATAAAAGAGGTCAAAATAATAATAGCAACAGGCATATGGAAGAAGTTGATTCCAACCCTCATGGGTGACTTGGACGGGATTAAGACTTTGGTGGAGGAAATGCAGATGCGGCGGAAAGAGCAAGGGTAGAAGTGGAGTCTTAAGATGTGGCTGAATTGCTGCACTCTCATGATAAAACTTGAACAAATGAGTTGCTTCTTATGGATGAGCAGAGAAAGTGGTTTCCTGAGATGGAATCTACTCCTGGTGAAGATGCTGTGAAGATTGTTGAAATGACAACAAAGGATTTAGAATATTATGTAAACTCAGTTGAAAAAGCAGTGGAAGGGTTTGAGAGGATTGACTCCGATTTTGGAAGACGTACTACTGTAGGTAAAATGCGATTAAGCAGCAATGCATGCTACAGGAAAACTCTTTGTGAAAGGAGTTGTCAATCAATGGGGAGACTTCATTGTTATCTTCTTTTTAGAAGTTGCTCTACAGCCACCTCAACCTTCAGCAACCACCACCTAATCAGTCAGCAGCCATCAACATGGAGGGGAGACCCTTCACCAGCAAAAGGATTATAACTCCCTACGAGCTTAGATAGTTAACATTTTCTAGTAATAAAGTATTTTTAAACTAAGTATATTATTTTTAAGACATAACACTATTGCACAGTTAATAAACTACAGGATATTGTAAACATAACTTTTATATGCATTGGCAAACCAAAAAATTTATTTGACTCAGTTTATTTTGATGGTCTGAAACTGAACTTTCATACCTCTGATGTATGCTTATTTTGAAAGTGGAAAAAAGAGGGACTACAGATAGCTGAAATCTATGACCATTTTATCATTTTACACAGGACCAGAAAGTGGATAGAACAATAAATGCTTTAGAATGTCTTAAATTTCTCTTAAATATACAACAGAAAAGTAAGGCAAAACATTTATCAATTGTTCCTATTACCTGTGTAGTTTTCACAGAACATAACGAGAGAAATTTAAAATTAAAAATTTTAGTTGGCTAGCTAGCGAACCAAGTGGGTCAGAAATATGGTTAGAAAACCAGTTGTTCTTCCTAGAAGAATTCGGTTTCTTGAGGTTATACAACCCAGGTCCCAGTTTTTTATGTTGGCTAACAGCTGGAAGGTAGCTCCTAGCCTAGAAGGCCACCGATAGGTCTTAGTCAACGTGGCCTTCTTACAACATGGTAGCTTACTTCTTCAAGGCCCACAAGACAATGTCTCAAACTTCTTGTAAGGACCCACCTTATTAGGTTAGGAGTACCCAGCACATTCTCTCTGTTGATACTCAAAGTCAGCAGATTAGGGAACCTTGAAACATCTGCAAAATTCCTTCAATTGTGCCATATAACATTATCTAATAATGACCATATCATTATGGGAGTAACATCAGGGAATATTTGGTTAGTGGTGAATGACTGCTTAAAATAGTGGGTTTCCTGAATGGCTCAGTTGGAAAAGTATCTGACTCTTGATTTTGGCTTAGGTAATGATGTCACAGTTCATGAGATCAAGCCCCATGTCAGGCTCTGTGCTGACTGTGCAAAGTCGGCTTGGTATTCTCTCTCTCTCCCTTTCTCTCTGCCTCTCCCTCACTCATACACACATATTCTCTCTCAACAAAAGAAGCACACTGTGAACATGATCCTATAAACAAATGCCTGTAATTGGATTGTATAAACATCATTATATGAACTTTAACGTCACTTTACATGTTACAAAGTGCTTATACATAGTCTGTATCATTTGATTTTCATGACTACCTGTCAGGGAAGCACAGTAGATAATTAGCCTAACATTACCAGTGAAAAAACAAAGGCTCAAAGCTGTTAAGGGATTACCCAAAGCAAATTAGTAGTGGAGTTGGGGCTTCAGACTCAGATCTTTTCACCCTATAGTCCAGTCCTCTTTGTTACTAATTCTATAGTTTTCAGACCATGTTTGGTGAGGTTCTAAGGCAATTACTCAAGAACTGAGGGTGACCCTAAAAAGCCAGGGATTAGGGTTGGTACAGTGGCTCTACTTTTGTTTGTTCTATATATATGTTGGGGGTTCCACACTCCATGCTCCATGTTGCCTTGTTAACGTAAAAAAGAATGTTTACAACAAAAATTTAGTTTAAAAAATGGTTTAGATAGCTGTATACAAAAAACCAAGAGTCTCTTCCAGTGAAGTTTTAAGAAGCTGTCATTTCTTGCAGTAGCTGTTGAACCTTTCATAAAGACAGAAAAAATAAAAAAGAAACTGTATTAAAGTGTTGGTCTAAAATGTACACTTAGGGAAAAAAGATGAACCCCACCTTCTTCACTTTTAAATAAATATAAAAAATCAGTACCTTCTTAATGTCTGGTCTCTTATTTTTCTTTTCATGCAAGCATTGACTTGCAACAGAGTACATAGTTTCAATGCAAATGGGATCAGTGTCATTCATCTTCGTGTCAATATAATCTTCAATGGTCTTTTCTTCATCTTCAATTTCTTCTTTAATATCTAGCTTTAACACAAATGTTAAAACTTTAGTAGGAGCTTCAAAGAAAAGTGAGAGAAATCAGAATGTAAATGGAATTATTTCATCTACTTCATAACAACATGTACTTTTATTTCACTATCTAGTTTTATAACCTTACTAAGAATTAAAGACATACGGGAGAGACCCCATTTATTTATTTATACCTCTATTCACACCTAGGTACAGACATACATACCTTTTAGATACTTTCAGCCATTTGCCTTCTAATTTTTGTGTTTCTGTTGCTGAGCTAATTGCGCGCATAGTCCCATTGGCAGCATTTACTAGGCTGCCAGCCCAAGGCAATTTGCTTCTTGATGTGCTCCTGAGAATGCAGTTCCAACTTCTGGACCCCAAATCCTCCTCTCTGGACAGGTAAACTTGTCTACAGGTACTCAGATTGTTGAATCACAGAGAGAGAGGGAGACGGAACAAGGGGACAGGGCCATGACACGAAGGCACTGCATAGGGAGAGAGGCACAGGACTAGGAGGATGGAGTGGGTCAAGTGGTGGCCATGAGAACAGTACGTCCACGTCCTAATCCCCAGAATCTATGCATATGACTTCATTTGAAGAAAAGGTCTTCATGTGAAGAAAATGACATTTGAAAAACATGTCATTAAACATCTTGAGATGGGATCGTCTTAGATTACCCACATGGGCCCTAAATCCAATGACGAGCATCTGTGTAAGAGACAGAAGAGAGACGAAAACAGATGCAGAGAAGACAATGCGACCACAAAGGCAGAAACGAGTGATGTGGCCTCAAGTTAAGGAATGCCAACAGCCACGAGAAGCTGGAAGGGGCAAGGAGTCTCCCCTAAAGCCGCCAGAGGGAATATGGCCCTAGGAACATTGGGGGCCCAATTCCTGGCCCTAGGAATAACAACACCTTGATTTCAGATTTCTTGCTTTTGAAAGAATACGTTTTTGTCACTTTATGTCCCACTTTGTGCTAAGTTTTTTACAGCAGTCCTCAGAAACTATTATCACGGAAAAGACTATTTACGTGAGGTCAATGTACAACAACCCTCCAGAAACTCTTCCAGAAGAATTTTAAGGGGCACCTGGGTGGATCAGTTAAGCTTCTGACTCTTGGTTTCGGCTCAGTTCATGATCTCATGGTTTGTGGGTTTGACCTCCGTGTCGGGCTCTGTGCTGACAGTGTGGCCCCTGCCTGGAATTCTTTCCCTCTCTCTCTGCCCCTCTGCTGCTCTCCATCTCTCTCTCTCTCTCTCTCTCTCTCTCTCTCTCTCTCAAAATAAATAAAAAAGAATTTTGAAACATTTGGGTGATGGCAGAATCTAGTGATCTAAGGATCACTCCCTTTTGGTTATCGTTGTAATAAAATCTTATTACTTTATAGTCATACTGCATTCATGCCTTAAGTAACAGGGTATAATCTCTGACTTTTATGATTTTCATTATTATATGATCATGCATAAAGCTTAGGACTGAGACGGATTCTGTGTTTTTCTGTATTTCATCCTTACTCAAACCAAATGTTTGAGTCTTTCGTGATACTCTAAAGGAGAAAAAGTCTGAGAGAAAAGGATTTAGGCTTTTAGACAGGTAGGCTCTGCTTAAAAAGTATAAATTACAAGGTAAAAAAAAAAGGAGAGTTCCTTTAGTTTTTTTAAACTGTCCTGTATCTTTATTTATTTTTAAATTTTTTAACATTTATTTATTTTTGAGAGACAGAGAGAGACAGAGCATGAGTGGGGGAGGGGCAGAGAGTGAGAGAGACACAAAATCCGAAGCAGGCTCCAGGCTCTGAGCTCTCAGTATAGAGCCTGATGGGCAGCTCAAACCCATGAACAGTGAGATCACGACCTGACCCAAAATCTGACACTTAACCAAGTGAGCCACGGAGGCGTCCACTGGCCTATATTTTTTTTTTAATTTTTTTAAATGTTTTATTTATTTCTAGGAGAGAGAGAGAGAGACAGCGTGAGCAGGGGAGGGTCAGAGAGAGAGGGAGTCACAGACTCTGAAACAGGCTCCAGGCTCTGAGCTGGCAGTCAGCACAGAGCCCGACACGGGGCTCGAACCCACGAACCGCGAGATCATGACCTAAGCGAAAGTCGGGCGCTTAACCGACTAAGCCACCCAGGCGCCCCATGTATTTTTAATTTACACACTTTCTCTGCATAATCCCATCCACACCCAAAGCTTTATCTATACTTGGGCATTAATTGCTCCAAAACATTGTATCTGCAGCTGAGGCTTCCTTCCTGAGGTCCAACACACAATGAGATAGATAATAAACATATTATAATTTAGTAATATACATACAATATAATAACATATATATGTATTATATAGATAATACAAATAATATATATTATATAATGACTGTTCACAATAATATTATGTTCTATAAATATACTTCAATGCAAAATGTTATAAAATATGTAATACTGCATTACTACATATCCAGGAAACCATGGAAAGCTTTATGATGTACTTTTTGCCAAGGGTCACCAGTAACAATATTATAATATATAGATATCAAACTTATGGTTTTTCTTAAAAGAGTATGGCACCAAACCCATGAGCAAACATAGCTTTTGACTTTCTAATCTCCAATGTAGGGAAATAATCTGTTATATATGTATAATCTGGATATTTCACACTGGTTTGTCTCATTAGAACACATAAATTAGAATAAAGTCAGTGTAGTTCTTAAATTTTAAGAAAAGCTTATACATGATAGTAAGCATTTCTGTAATCTTCAGATTACAAAAGATTTTTGTAAATTTTTAATTTTATAAAAAGACCCTCTAATTTCGTAAAATCTACTATATAGAGGAAAAAAGGGCAAGGCATAATTGTCTTATAATTTTAGCATTCAGTTAGTCTATTTATGTACCTGCCAATGAATGCCTAACATAATACACAGGTAATGTTTTCTATCACAACTTTATAATTAAAATACTCCATAGGGGTGCCTGGGTGGCTCAGTCGGTTGAGCGTCCAACTCTTGATTTTGGCTCAAGTCGTGGTCCCAGGGTTGTGGGACTGAGCCCCACATCGGGCTCTGTGTTGAATGTCGTGCCTGTCGTCCCTCCTTCTCTCTCTTTCTCTCTCTCTTTCTCTCTCCCTCCCTCCCTCTCTCTCTGCCCCTTCCTCCAATTCACACTTTCTTGCTCTCTCTCTCTCAGAAAACAAATAAAATAAAAATAGAGAGAAAATTTTTCTAGTAATTCTATTCTAATACAAATGTGAATAGAAGCTATATTGTTTTTCCTCACTGAGCTGAAAAGTCTGTTAGTAATCATCCTGAAAGTAACAAAAATAAAAATATACTGGAGAAGACCTAAAAAAATCATATAGTTCTATTCTGATTTTACCCACAAAGAAACCAGAACATAGAATATATAAAAATCCTTTGTGGCAGAGCTGAGATTAGAAATTTGTGATGCTCTTTCCATATGCCACTGTGTAATCACCAATGGAAATATTGCCAATAGAAAGTGATATATCTAGATGCCAATTTACCCATATAAATTTAGATTATAAATGCAAAGAGAAAAGGACTGGAAAATATGAATCTTTCAATTACCAATAACTGAGGTTCACGATGTTCATCTACAGCTGGAAGTCCAGTTATTATTTCTAATAAAACCTACAAACACAAAAAAGATCCATTACTGTAACACTCAAGACAATATACAGAAGCTAGACAGAATATGGATCTTGATTATGAAATCTGATTAATCATTTCCCCACACTGCGTTATGCCTTTGAGGCATTAAAGCACAATGGACATGAGCTGTGGTCATCTGTCACCATCATTCCCTCACAGATACCTTGGGTTCCAGCAATCTCCACAAGCAGTACTTTTCAACTGGCAACTTACTAAACAATCAGCTCCACTCAGTATGTATTCTAGACATTTCTTTTCCTGTATTGCAGGGGATTCTTCACAAGAATAATTGTCTCTAGCTTTTAGAATATTATTTTCTAAATTTTAGGCCTATCCTACAATTCTGTGCCTTAATTTCTCAGTGCTATGAAGTTAAATTTCCATATATGAAATACATATGCAAAAATAAGATGAAGTAGTGCCTAATTTCTCCAACCATTCCCACTCACTCCATCTTAAAAGTTACTAGAGACAGACCAGTAGATCAGAAAATTCCAAAGTGTATGTCTTTTAAAAAATATTTCATTTAAAAACTATGACACTAAAATGCATGCTGCATGATATAATTTGTTCTATGCACTAATTTAAGCTTCGTACTAAGTCGTGAGGACAGTGTGCTAAAAAAGTCATGTCTCACAGTGACTTCAGAAACCAATTTAAGTTTACAAATTTGGAAAAGCTTTTATAACTTTCTCATTTAACTAAAGGTTCAAGTAAATAATGTACATATTTACATAAGAGAGGTAAGCAAGACAGGTATATTCAAAATATTCTACTTCAACTTCACAGTTATAGCCAGAATGATTATTGTTACTGATTATATATGTGAAACGTACCACACCAAAGCTGTAGATGTCAGATTTGGCTGTTATTTCTCCTCGTAAAGCCTCAGGTGCCATATATGCTGTTGTTCCCACAATTCTGCTAGTCATGACTGTTTGGGCAAACTTCTCAGAAGCCCGTGCGAGCCCAAAGTCTGATATTTTGGCTGTAAAGTCTTCATCTAGTAAGATATTTGCACTGAAATAAAGTTTGAAGAAAAAATAGTTTTCTTTTCAAGCAAGCCAAACAGGTGTGTGAACAAAAGTACATATTTACAAAGGAGACCATTTAATAAAACACATCATAAAAGCCTGAAATATGTGTAAATAAGTCTACATGTCAGATTGAAGCTAAAGAAAAATAATTGTCTTCTTATTCCTTTTTGTTTCTTGAGGAAAAATTTTAGGAGAATAAAAATGAAATAAAACTGTCCACATTAGTTAGAGATAATTTCATGATTTTACAATTTATTTTGGGAAAATTTCCCTCAGTCTCCTAAAGCACCATTCTTAATTCCTTTCCTAACATTTCCCAACTCATTTAAGAATAAATTTCCAACCAAAGTATCTCAATTATTCATTTCTTTATTCTTTTTTTAAAGCTTTTAAGTTTACTTCCAGTATAGTTAACATGCAGTGTTATATTAGTTTCAAGCGTTATTCTCTCTTTCTCTCTTTTTTTTGTACTCTCTGATAACTTTCAAAGAAAAAAGAATAGGGCTAAAAGGTGCTCATTCATTCATTACACACAGTCATTCATACACACATACTCAAGAAATATTCAATAAAACTTTATCAAGGACTCACTATGTATAATAGTATTTCAGCTCAGTGCTGCATAGAGGGGAAATTTTCAAATCCTGTCTGTGACAAAGGTCTGTACCTAATTTTTAAAAATCCAAAAAATATTCCATAATGGTGATGTTATGTACAAAATGCTGAGAGAACAAACACATGCCTGAAAGAACTGGAGAAAATTCCAAAGACAGGGTAAATAGTGTACTTAGTCTTGAAGGATTGTTAGGTGATGGTTAAATGAAGAAAAAAGGTATTTAAGGCAAATGGAGCAACATGTACAGAGTGATGAAAACATAAAATCATGTGATCAGCGGCGCCTGGGTAGCTGAGTCAGTTAAGCATCCGACTTTGGCTCAGGTCATGATTTCACAGTTCGTGAGTTCGAGCCCCACATCAGGCTCTCTGCTGACAGCGCAGAGCCTGGAGCCTGCTTCAGGTTCTGTGTCACCTTCTCCCTCTGCCTTCTCACTCATGCTTTGTCTCTCTTCTTCTCTCAAAAATAAATAAACATTAAAAAAACAAAACAAAGAAAACAAAACAAATGAACCCCAAAACAACATGTGATCAATTTCAAGAAACTGGTGCCAGTGGAACATGGAGAGAATATGAACTTCACTCTGTGACAGTGTGACACCAGTGAAAGTTTCTTAGTAAGGAATTAATGTTATTAGACTTGAATTTTAGGAACACAACCTGGCAGTGTAGTAGTGAATTGAGGAGAATTGGTACAGACTGGTTAAAGGCTGACCATGAAAGCTTGTCATAAAGTAAATAAGAGATAGTGAGAGTCTAGATAAAGAAAGAACACTGGGGCGGGAGAGAAGCTGAAAAGTTTGATGCATGTTCAAAGGACCTTTGTAATTAGTCTGATATGAGGAATGAGAAAGTCTTTAGCTGGGAGACAGGATGAATAGTGACTTCATTTGATAAGGAAGGGAATCTAGAAGGAAGACTGGTTTGGAAGAGAAAATGAATTTGATTTCTGACATGTTAATTTGGAGGCTTCTGTGGGAAATGCAGGTGAGGTCGTTTTGGTCTGGAGATACTGAAAATATAGGAATGGAGGCTGATGATACAGATTGGAGAGTCACCCACACATAGGTAGCAGGCGAAGTCAATATAATGTCAGTCAGCAAGAACACGTTCTGAGAACAGAAGAGACAGGAGGTGAGAACAGGAGATGCACCAATATGTAGAGGATGAGATATAGTACCTGTCCTGTCATCTAAGCTTGATCCCTCTATCTGGACTCCTTCCTAAATCCTCAGAAACCTTACTCTATACATTATCTTCTTCTCTCTTCAACTTTATCATCTCCTTCTTCCTATAGGCATAAAAATGTGCTTTAGTCTCAACCATCTTAAAAAAAAAAAAAAAGAAACGTTTCCTGAATAATATATTATTTCCAGTGATCATCCTTCACTATCCAAATGTCTTAAAAGACTTGTCTATACTCACATCTCAGTTCTCCAGCTTTCTCTCTCCTAAACTACAATCTGAATTCTGTCCAATTACCACGTGGAAGCAGGACTCTGTAAAGATACTAATGACCTTCAGGGCACTAATCAAATAGTTTTCAATCCTCATCCTAACTTCTAAAAAGTAACATATTTTTGACTAGTACCTCTTGGAAAATGCTCTCTTTCCTTCTTTTGATGGATACCACACTCTCCTCGTTCTCATCTTATCTTTCTATGCCTGTTTTCTTCGATTCCTTTCGGATCATGCTCTTCTAGTTGGCCATTACGTCTTAAAGTTCCTTAGGACTAAATCTTGGGAACTTTTCTTAATTTCTCTCTTTCCTTAAGTGAATACAATCCTATGACAGTCTCCAATTAACACCTATATGCAAGTAATACATAAATTTGTCTTCAGCTCAGATTACTTCAGGTCCAAATCTGTATATCACATTATCTGTTTAACATCTCCACTTCCGTATCTTAAAAGAGTCTTAAATGTAACATGTACAAAAGAGAATTTATATTCTCAGTCCTCAACCTGGTCCTCTTCCAGTGCCTTCTATGTAAGTGAATCATGCCACAATCACCCCAGAATGCAATTCAGGAAGCTATAAATCCAGGAGTCATTGCTGACCTGTCCCTCTTCCTGACCCCTCTGCAGCCAAGATATCAGCAGGTCCTGCTATCTTAATCTCTCAAATCTGCTCACTTCCTTTGATATGAACAGCTATCACCAAGACTTCTGAGAAGGTCTCCTAACTCTCCTTTCTTACAAACTGTTCTCTACACTGAGGGTCAAAGTGACCTTCTCAAAACTTAAACATGATGCCACATCTCTACTTATAATCCTTCAATGGCATCTGAGTATATTGATGATAAAACTAAAGACCTTACCTTAGTCTATCAGATTCTATAGGATTTAGCTTCCTGCTGACTTCTATATCTTCTATCAATCATTCCTTCCATTTCTGCACTTCAGTTACATTGTGTTCATTTCACTTCCTGTAATTAATTCATCATGCCCCCAAGCTCCCTCTCAACATTGGTCTCACAAATGCAGTTTCTTCTGTCTAGAATGCTCTTCTCCCTATCTTCTTTAGCCACCCTCAACTTGAGCCCACTTACTTCCTACTCATTCTTTGGATGTCCACTAAAATATCACTTCCTCAGAGAATACTTCTTTATACGAATACTATTACGTAGTACTAAATACTACATATTGCACACTAAAGTTCTTTTGTTAGTTTGTGATCATTTGCTTGATGTCAAATGCAACAAGTGCTACTTTTGCTAAGTATATTATCTCCAGTGCCTAGTGTATGGTAGGTGCTCAATTAGTATTTGTTAGCTACATAAGAAGAGAGAGACCTGAAATGTACCCATGGAGGATGAAAGTGATTCAGAAAATAATGGAGATCTGGAAAATAATTTTGACAAGGCAAAAGTGGTCAGGAAAAACAAAATGTCATGCTATTAAAAAAAAAAAAAAAAAGGTGGGGGGCCATGCAGGCTAAGTACTAAAAATAGGTCACTGGGTTTGGAATAAAGGGGACTACAGAATGACTTAATGAGAAGAGCTTTCATGGGGTGCGATGAGACATGCATATGGATATGAATGGAAAGAGTGAGAGCAAGTTATTCTTTAAAGATGGTTTTCCAAAAGCTTTGTAAGAGTAGCATTTACCTTTTAATGTCTCTATGAATATGATGGTTTTCATGTAAAAAACTGATGCCATTAGCTGCACCCTGAGCAATCTTGCATCTCATGTGCCAAGAAAGTGGTGGAGTATTATCCTTATAAAGTAAGAAACCAACCCATTAAAAAAAAAAAAGGATAAAAAATCTGTAGAAAATATATAACAGGACATTTTTCTCAGCAACTACTGAAAATGATATCATATCACCCAGAATTTAGGATTGCAATTTTTAAAAACTGTTCAAAAATAATCTCTAAATAAGATCAAATCAGAGTTAGCATTTCTTATTTGACATTAAAAATATATGAGCATCTTCAAAGACTAGTCTTGACTGTTTAAGATTATTACCTAATAGAATGGTAATCCCAGTTGTTTACCTGGGATTTATATATCAACTGTATAATTTTCAAAGAACAAGAAAAATATTAAGATTAATGTGGTTTAAATAATCTTGTCACAAAGTGAATATTCATATTCCAACACATAAACAGAAAGCCAAGCAATGTGGTGAACAGACATCTTACCAAGCAGGACAGCCTGTCTAGCAATGAGCCATTGGGCATGTAGACATACACTAGGCAGAGGTCGTCTCCATCACTTGAGAAACCAAGTAGTTCAACTAAGTTTTCATGTTGACACCTATGACAAATAATTTTCCTCTCAAAATTATTATGATACATACATATATTCAGCTGTAGGTTGAAAGTTTTTCAATTTAGAGCTTTAACAGAAAAAAGGAGTAAGAAAAGAATGATGTGCTTTGTATCATTATATTACATTATGTATGTTTATAGTATGTGTGTATATATATATATGTTTATTACAACTATTTATAATTTTCTGCAAACAGTTCTTTCAGTCAATACTGATCAACATTAGAAGCAAACACTTTTTCTATTTTTAGTAAAAGCTCAACAATTTATAAGTTTGGAACTTGTGATAGTTTGGTTAAGGACTGGGTTGATATTAACCTTAGTGTACACAACTTTCAATGATAGTACAGGCAAGATTTCAAGAAATCTGTTGAAATTGGTATGACAATCCTTTCAAGAATTTTTTTTAACATATCCAAAGCATGGATTTATAGACATGAATCTTTAACTTCATCTAATTTACACATTTTTGATCTTTAATGATGTGTTATTATTTATAGCCCAATTTGAGTTTTTTAATATACCTGAAAGGAATAAAACTGAAGAGAGCTGAAATATAACAAATCTTAGGTATCTGTGGTAAATAGAAGAAAGTAGGAAGAAAACTGGGCCAAGTCCCAAGTTTAAAGTCCAGCTTTGCCACCCTCTGGATATCTATAGGCCAAATTAACAGGTAACAGGTTACCAACCTCAGTGAGCTTCAGCAACTTTACCAAATGTGGATAGTAATTGTGGATACTGATTGTGTAACATGGATGCTGTGAGAATTGACTGAGCAAATATGTGAGAGCCTAGAAGTATACGTACAACATGATAATCTCCATCCAAGTGCTTACTCATTTTGTTGATTCAAAATGATCTAAAATTCTGGCATTTCATTATTTCAAATCAGGCTTTAATTTGAAAACAGTCTGTCCTCATAAATATTTTAAGAAGTACAAATTAAAACAATAAGTGCTCTATTTTCCACCAAACTGGCACATTTTTAAAATGAGTAGGTAACATTTGCTGAGTTTCTACTATATACATGGCACTGCAGTAAATGATTTACCTGCTTTGTTTTGTTGAATTCTCATAACAACTTAATGAAGTAAACACTATCCCATTTTATAGATGAGAAAACTAATGAATAGACAGTTAAGAAACTTGGCCACAGTCATTCTGCTAGTAAGATCCAGAAACTGGTACTTATTAAAAAACAGTGATAATAGTCAATGGTGGTGAGGTAAGGATGAAAAATGAAATTGTAATACATTGTGGTGGGAGTATAAATCATTATTTATAAAGCCATTTGGACATGTACTTGGAAAGTTTTTAAGAGGTTCATGAATTCTGAACCAGTAATTCTTCTAGGACTCTACCTGATGAAATAAGCAGAGCTACATTTAAAGATTTATGTACAATGAGATTTAAAGGAGCTTTAATTTGCAATGATGAAAATTAGAAATAAACCTAGTAGGGTAATGGTTAAATAAAATATAATCATCATATGTGCCAAATAATTAATATACAATACTTTAAAATTAAAATTAATGTAAAATAACAAAATGCTTTAAAATTATTTTTAATGACATGGGGAAAATGGTATACACACATCATTACATCAAAATATTAGCCGTGGTTATCTCCGAGTGATGTATTTAAGAGGTGATTTTTATTATTTTAAATACATATTCCTGTATTTCACAGATTATCTACTTTGAACAGATTACTTTTAGGATTGAAAAGTAGGTATAAGGGTATGGGGAACAAAATCCCGAAAGAAATTTTTGTTTTGTTTTGTTTTGTTTTTTTTAATCAGCATGCATTATTTTTACCATGACTGAATTAATTCCAGTCTGTTATTTCTTTCTTGAGGTTAATCAACTAAAATTGGTAATTTATAGCAATGGGTGTAATATTGTAAATCGGTAAATCTCACTAGAATTCGTCATATCGATAGTGTGGTATGGTGACCGATGGTGACCACAATTACGATGGGTGGTGAGCACTGAGTAATGTAGGGAATTGTCGAATCAGTATGTTGTACACCTGAAACTAACAGAACACTGTATGTCAGTTACATTTCAATATTAAAAAAATACATTTAAAAAAAGAAAAAAAAATCTCAAGCTCTGGAATCAGACAGATCTGAATATGAAAACCAGATCTGATTTTTACTGGCTACGTGGCCTCAGGCAAGTTACTTAATGTTTCTAACTCTCAATGGAAAAAAGAAATATAGGGGAGGTTATAATAACCTTTACAGGGATTAAATGAGGCCAGATACATAAAATACACTGCAATACAATTATTAGAATAAATTTTGTGATTAGTTTCTCTCATTCTTCCCGAAGACGCCCAATAATTTTCAGGCATACTGGGTCAATGTCTTCTAAGCATTCTGGCATATAACTTTTTCCTGGCTTAGAGCTATTAACATATATAAGGGTCTATTATTCTAAATACATATTTTTCCATATTTATAATTTATCTGTCATGAATTTTGGGAGCAGCAAAGGATAATGCAAGATAGTTGAAACCCTTTGTAGCTTTGCTATGATTTAAAATAAAAACTGCTGTTTTATCTACATGCACATGAGCATATGCAGTCACTGAATTGTAGAGTCAAAAATTCTTTCAATTCCTCTAATCTGGATCCTTTATTTTAATTTTACATATCTGAAAATATTACTAGTTCATGGCATACTCTGGGTAAGAAATCAGGTCCCCTACTTCTTGTCCTGCTCTCTTCTACGATATCACATTGCCAAATTAACTTACTTTGCCATAACTTTTATTTCTTGATCAAACTGCTGCTTCAGTTCTTCAGTACTAATGTCAACCATCTGAAAAAATAATATATAACATAATACAACACGATAACCTCAAGGCTCCTAAAGCGAGAAGGAGGCACAAGCGATCGCCTGTCTGATCTTGCTTTCTTTAAAATAGTAAGGCATTATTCTCCCCCTTTGGTAGAATAACTGAGAATCAGAAATACTAATCATTTGTTCAAGGTCCCACGGCTAGTTAGTACAAGGAAAAAAACCTCATAAGCCATATAACCATATAAACCTGAGTTATTGTAGGAACAAAATGAAATAATGTGAGACCTCACTGCATAAACATTCTCAAGAAAAAATTTGCTGTAACAGAAAACAAGCAAATTTGAAGGCAAAAAGAAAAACCAAACCTGCAAAAGTATTTGTACTGTATATGACAATGGATGACTATTTTTATCATATAAATATGTATTCTATGGATGTTTCTGGAATATAATAATAGATTTATAATGTAACAAGTCAATGACATGCTGAACACTCTAGTGGCAATGGGAATAAAGGATCTAGACAAACTTTTTTCAATTATTTTCTTATTATGTAACTTTTAAACTTCATTTTTATTTTTATTTTTTTGATTTTTAATTTTTTCAATGTTTATTTATTTTTGAGAGAGATGGGGAGAGAGAGAGAGACAGAGCATGAGCAGGTAAGGGCCAGAGACAGAGGGAGCCCAACGAGGGGCTCAAATCCACGAACAGCGAGATCATGACTGAGCCACTTAGTCGCTCCTAAACTTCATTTTTAAATGATAACAGTAACATAAGAAATCTCTTTTTACAAAATTTTCTTAGTATCTTCCCATTTTAATCTTGATTAGGCATGAAGCACTAAGTAGAACAGGGTTTCTCAACTTTATTTTGTGACTCTTCCAAAATTATACATACAATTATATGTGTATGCCCATAACTACATTTTTGTAGGGACAGGTTCCATAGCTTTCAACAATTTTTTAAGTATTAAGAACAGTCAGCTTAGAATGATGTTTAAAGAAAATATGCACTGAAATAACGTATTTCCTAAGGACTAATTTACAGCTTATGATACAGCACACTACGAAGCAACTTTTTCCTATAATTCTTTTAACTCCTCAACATATAACTTACCGCCACAAGCTTCTTCACGGCCACAGTTTTGTTGTTCACGTAGCCTTTATATACAACTCCAAACCCTCCCTCTCCCATCTTGTTGCCACCGATGGAAACGGGCCTTTCATCAAAGTTATTTGTGACATTCTTCAATTCATAAAATGAAAAGCTGTGAAAACCTATAATGTCAATGAAATAAGAAAAAAGGTGCTTCAATAAAAAGGATATTGGTTTTAATAACTTCAGTATTTTCTCAACTTGATTATTTCATATATACACAAATATTTACAACTTTGGATTAGACAGGAGAGGAGAGAGTAAGGCTATCTTTTAGATTAAAAATTTAAGTTTTATCTTTTATTTATTTATTTATTTATTTATTTTATTTCTAGGAGAGAGAGAGAGAGACAGCGTGAGCAGGGGAGGGTCAGAGAGAGAGGGAGTCACAGACTGAAACAGGCTCCAGGCTCTGAGCTGGCAGTCAGCACAGAGCCCGACGCGGGGCTCGAACCCACGAACCGCGAGATCATGACCTAAGCGAAAGTCGGACGCTTAACCGACTAAGCCACCCAGGCGCCCCTTAAGTTTTATCTTGAGAATTCTGTTTGGTGGTCCTCCACCTAAAACTCCAGTTACTTGCTTTCATTACAAAATGACCTTTTAAAGTTATGTAAATATTTATGCATTTTTTCATACTTCTATGGTTGGGTATATGTCCTGTTGCCTCTTCTCGTTGATAACACACTGACTAATACAATGAAGATGGCGCTGAACAGGTCAGGAGGGAAAAAAAGAAAACCCACAGAAGAGCTACTGCCAGTGTGCACAACCGAAAGGGCAGATTTATTTCAAAGGGCTCAATGACAAACCCGCCAAGGGAAAGCACTGCACGTGTTACTTACGCGTATTGCTGCCTTCTAGACTTGTACTTTCTGGACTTGAGGAGTCAGGTAGAGTGTAGTTTTGTTCAAGATCCTGCACAGGTAACCCAAATGCCCTGTCTCTGCCACAGAGAGGCATTTCTTTCTGCTGAACTGTTACAGCTTCCTTAGCAGGTAGTGTATTAACAGCTTGGGGAACAGCATCTGCCAGATGAAGTAAGTTACAAGTTGTCCTTCCATACGAAAAAGTGTTTGTGTGCAGAAGTTAAACTAGGAACTTGGTTCATTTGACATCATTGCAGTTACCACACGTCAACCCCATTTTCTCACAGCATACACACAAGAAGCTACCTAGTACGAATTTGTGAGTTTTGGTTAAGGTGACTAGAGAGGGGAAGGTGGTGTTTTCAAAGAGTCTATGTACCGCCTACATCAGAGCACTGAAGGGCTTGTTGAAAAACACAGACCTAACCCAAGTCAAGAATTCTGATAATGAGGTCTGGAATAGAGACAGGAATCTACTTATTTAACAAGAACCCCAACGGATTCTACTGCACACTGAAAAGTGACAACTGCTAGTACAAATGGTATCAACGGGAAATAAGCTGTTAGGAAGGGATCTAGACAGTAACCCACCACAATACAATGTAAGGATATCAGGATTACAGAGTCCCATTGGGGTGGAAGTTAAGGGTAAAAAAAAGCAAGAGTTAAAACAAACAAACAAATAAAACCCCAAAAAAGTAATTTCTGTCCTTCTACACTTCCTTTTGGCACAAAACTACCTGACACAAATGGTGGCTCAGGCCCAGTCATGAGGTCTCCATCTCCTCAGCAGCAAGTCTGCAGTGCATATCTGGAGTGCTTGTATGAGTTGGGGAGGGTAGAAAGAATGAAAAGGAGTCTCAAATGTAAGGCTCATCTACTAGGAGAAAAAAGTCCAAGCAAGAAGACATGTTCCCATTTCTGCCACTTGCCTTTCCACCCTAATCACTGATGCCCTACTCATGCTCAAGTTTACCTGGTAGCAAAAGACTTGCTGGGGCAAAAAACTCATTTTGGACCAACAGATCCACAAGATCACCAACCGTGCAATTTGTGGTGCCCCAGTCAAACAGTAATTCACAAGTGGGGCTTTGTCCAGTTTGAAGTAATGCTTCAAATCTCCTTAAAAGCAAGCAACAAAGAAACAAAATTAATATGTAAATAGACTTAACATGAAAATAGGAATTACTCCCTCATGCCCTTGTCTGGCCCATACTACCTCTTATAGTATTAAGGAGGGGGCAGCAGAAGAATCAGCCAAAATTACAGAGAACTGGGAAGACAGGCAGAAAGGAAAAAGATGCTGAAGGTGATAATACTATAGGTCCGCATATACTGAGTGCTTATGAGTATCTGCTCAGTGGGCCATGGGATGCATCCACATGAACTCATTTAATTCTCTAAGATACTACAAATATATACTAATTATGAATAAGAAAGCCAGGCATGAAAAGGTAAAGAAACCAGCCCATAGTCACACAGCCAAAAAACTGTATCTAAATTGACATCCAAATTCAGATCTCACTTGACATTAAGGGTCTGCTCTCAACCTACTAAGCTATATTCTTTCCCTACCTGACTTAATAACTCTGCTATTCACGTGAGTTTAAAAAAAATTTAATGTTTATTTTTGGGAGAGAGAGGCAGAGAGGAGCACAGAGGATGCGAAACAGGCTCTGCACTGACAGCAGCGAGCTGGATGTGGGGCTTGAACTCACTAACCGTGAGATTATGACCTGAGCCGCAGTCAGACGCCCAACCAGTTGAGCTACGCAGGTGCCCCAGCCATATGATTTTTAATAAACCTGCCTGTTTAATGAAATAGGATACTATACATAAACTTGGAGAATTATTCCATTGATCTTAATCACATTTCAATTAAATTACGGAAAAACAGATCAGTTTTTTGTTCTTTCTTTAAAAACTAGTCTGGAAATCAACATTTAAAAACTTAACAATTTTTTCTGGTTTTCCTCCAAACTTCTTATGTTGAAAAATTTCAAACCTACAGAAAAGTTGCAAGAATAATACCAGGAACAACCATTTACCCTTTGCCTAGATGCACCAACTGACCAGTTGATAACACTTTGTCACACTTGTGTTCTTGCCCTCTCCCTTTCCCTGTGTGTGTGCACATATGCTTTACAGTGTACGCCACACACTTTGTAAATGTCTCACAGTCTAGATCTGTCTGATGACTTTTTCATGATTAAATTCAGGTTAAAAATGTCAGGTAAGAACACCACATAGGTGACAGACAGCATGTTGTTCCCACTGCATCACATCCAGAGTCACATAATGCAGTCTGTACCATTATCGGTGACCCAACGTTTGATTACTTGGTTAAGGAGGGGTACTTCAGATTTTTTCTTTATAAAAGCACCATTACCCTTCATAATTCCTAAGTAACCTATGGATAATACTTTGAAATCTTGTGCTTATATTGTTCACTGACAACTTTTCATCTTGTGGTTTTAGCATCATCGATGAGTCTTGCATGAATCAATTATTCACTGGTGGTTGTAAACTAGTACCTTTTCTATCATTCTTTCAATAATTATTTGCTGCCACTATTCTGTAGACAAGAGCTTTTTCTCCACCCCGTCCCCCCCCCAACTGCCTCAACCATTCTCCAGAATATTTTGATAGTATACCATTACACTATCTTTGAAAGTTGCCTTTCAAGGTTTAAACTTAAGCTTCTTTCAAGTAATTTAAGGTGTTTATCCTTCATGTGAGGAAACACTTCCTGGAAAAACTAAGATAGAAGTTAAAGTTTTGGGATCTTTATTAGGTTAATGATGAAAATCACAATTTTATGCCTTTTCCTCTTGCTTCCAAAGACAGATTTTGATGTAGATTTGGACTGAAATAACTGACAAAAATAAATCTATATTTGTATTTTACACTAAATAGAGACAAAGAATGAAATTATCTGAAGATAGTGTTGAAAAATCCTGGCTAAGAACTAAGAATTCTGTTCATAGATGTGTACATTTATAAGCAACTTTAAAATGTCAACTTGAAGAACTCCCAAAGTACACTGTTAAGGGGGAGTAGAGATTTACCCACTTAGAATTTTACTAGAGATTCTTATAATTTTCCTATGTTCAATCTGGAAATGACAAATGTGAGGCAGAGGGAACTGTTCTCAGCTTGCTAAACAGAAAACTAGAGTGAAAGTAGGAATCTTGATTCTAACCCAAAAACTTATTTGCAAGATCACAATACTAGCCTAGCTGACATAATGGAGAAGGAATCAAAAATCACATATACACATACACAAAGAGGTTACTTATTACCATTATCTCATCTGAAGAGAGTTTTACTTTCTGAATTGCAATATTAGACAGTATTTACATCTATTCATCATTCTAGACTGTGATGTAAGAATTTAATTTTTTTTAATGTTTTATTTATTTCTGAGAGAGAGAGAGAGAGAGAGAGAGAGATAGTGTGAGCAGGTGAGGGTCAGAGAGAGAGGGAGACAGAATCTGAAACAGGCTCCAGGCTACGAGCTGGCTGTCAGCACAGAGCCTGACGCGGGGCTCGAACCCACAAACTGTGAGATCATGACCTGAGCCAAAGTCGGACGCTTAAGTGACTGAGCCACCCAGGTGCCCCTGTGATGTAAGAATTTAAAAAGGAAAAGAATTTTATATGTTACCTTATGTGAAACTGATTGTATCTATCATCGCCAGATGGTTTTTTAATGGCTACCGCTAACTTCTTCCATCCTTCTTGAGGATCAATAAAATCTGACAGCTTCCTAATTAGTCCAACATTGAGGGAGCGTACATATGTTGAAGATGTTATGGGTTTATTCATCTTCTGTTCCTAAAATATGGAAAACTGTCATTAAAATTTTACAGTAGTTTTAGTGATGACATCCATAAACTTATAAAATCACAATTTTCTACAGTACATGAAATGTTGGCAACTGATTATACCATAATAAAGGAACACTCCAAAGTCAACTAATTGATATCCTAATAAGAAATTAAAATTGTGGTTTATTTTGTCTAATTGTCCTCTGGTCTTATATTCTTTCTCTACCTATAATTATCAATAAAAAATGGAAGAATTTTTTTTCTGACACTGACACTTCCCAAGTACAATTTACCCAATGGAGTAAAAAATTTACTTTTTCAGAAAAATCCCTGTGAATATATTCAGGAATCAAATCCATTAATAAAAGAGATTTATTTTTCAATTTAAAACATTTTTCTCAGTTTTTATCTGCTAATAAACATTTACCACCACTCTTTAGTAGAAGTAAAAAAAAAAAAGTCCTGAAATAATTTGAGTAACATTAAAAGATATGGTAAATAGTCAACTTTTTCTATACCTCTTTTTTGAGTGCTCCACATTATTTGAATCCAGCAGAACTGTCTGATCAGAATTCATTCCCTACTAAGCCAAACCCTGTGGTTCACAACTTCACAATTTAGAGAAAACCTTTACTTCCTCATTCCCCTTTTTCTTTTGCCACTACACCCTGGAAAGCACCAGCCAGGGATAAATTTCACAATTTTGCTTGTACATGAGCATTGTTGAATATACCTAAGAGAATACAAATTAACGGGGACCCATTTTCCATGGGGCCTTCAACACTGCTCTTAATCCTATTACTTGTCTTACCTATCACTGAGCTCACTGATTACCTATCACTCAGCTCATTGTCCTTAGTGAGTATTTCACACCTGAGCCTTTTTCCATGTGGTTTTGATTTCTATGCCTCTGTTTTAGCAAGTAGCAACCTTTCCTTCTAATTCATCAAGACAAAGAGATTTACATATTCTTCTGTCAATTATTCTCCTGCTATCCCTATATATATATATTTTTTAAAAATTTTAATGTTCATTTATGAGAGAGAGAGAGAGGGAGACAGAAAGACAGAGCGTGAGTAGGGGAGGGGCAGAGAGGGAGACACAGAATCCGAAGCAGATTCTGTCAGCACAGAGCCTGATGTGGGATCATGACCTAAGCCGAAGCTGGAGACCCAACCTCTGAGTCACCCAGGAGCTCCATCCTCTTATATTTTTAACTTTAAGATGTAATATAATCAAATTTTGGAGTAAAAGATATATTCACATGGTGCAAAATTCAGAAGCTATAAAAGAGTAAGAAGCAAATGTCTCCCTGATCCTAGGCCTCTATATTTATATATTCTACTCTTTGGCCTTCTTTGACCATGGCATCTAAGTAGGTCTATCCGCCCTCAACCTAATTGTCTTTGATCATTGCATGATGTAACTGTAACCATGTATTTATTTGTTTGTTTAGTATCTTCCTCCCCCATTAGACTATACGCTCCATGAGTTCAGGGACTACGCTCTTTCGTTCACTAATATAAAACTAGTGAATAGCACGTGGCATATATTGTTGATAAGTATTAGGAATGAATGAATTTGCTGTCTAGTACCATGCTAGGTGATTCGCATATTTCACTTAATCCTTACAGTGATGAAGACAATTTTAACATCTTTACTTCACAAAGGTAGTAAATGAGGGGCGCCTGGGTGGCTCAGTCGGTTAGGCGTCCGATTTCGGCTCAGGTCATGATCTCATGGTTCGTGAGTTCGGGCCCCACGTCGGGCTCTATGCTAACAGCTAGCTCAGAGCCTGGAGCCTGCTTCAGATTCTGTGTCTCCCTCTCTCTCTGACCTTCACCTGCTCACGCTGTCTCTTTCTCTCTCTCTCTCTCCGAAAATAAATAAAACATTTAAAAAAAAAGGTAGTAAATGAGAGTTGGACTTGAATCAATATCTTACTCCAAAATTCATTCCATATGTCCTTGTTTCTATAATACAATGCATTGTTCAAGTCATTCTCTTTTCTATAAAGACATTTCCTTTCGTTTATTCATATGTTCAAATAACATGTCAGGCTTTGGGGGCAACTGGGTGGCTCAGTTGGTTGAGCATCCAACTTCGGCTCAGGTCATATCTCGCAGTTCGTGAGTTCAAGCCCCATGTTGGGTTCTGTGCTACCAGTTCGGGGCCTAGAGCCTGCTTCGGATTCTGTGTCTCCCTCTCTCTCTACCTTTTCCCTGCTCACACTCTGTCTCTCTCTCAAGAATAAATAAACCTTAAAAAAAATTAAAAAACAAAACAAAACATATCAGGCTTTGTACTAAGTTATAGGAGCTACAGAGAGGAAAAAAATCTTTGTTTTCAAGCTTCTCAGTCCCGCAGGGAATACAAGCAGTGAATGATAAATGTTATAAGAGGCGTGTGCAGTGTGTGGAGGCCCAGAGAAGGAGCATCAAGCCAAAGCAGTCTAAAGTAAATATATCAAGACAGATTTGGGTAGGGTGGGAGGTTAGAAGGATGAGTGAAAAGGGATGAGGAAAAACCTAAAAGGAAATTCCAGACAGTAGGGATAGCAGGGAGAACATAGATTAGGCTCAGGCAAGGAGTTTGCTATGGGTGGAGCATAGGATGCATGCCATTAAGTAGTAAGAGAAGAGGCTGGAGAGGGAGGCAGGGACAAATCATAACACACCTCATGTACTAAGGCAAGGAGTTGAAGCTTTATACTAAATGTTATGAGGAAGCCATTTCAGGATTTTAAAGAAAGGTGTCATGATATCTTATTTGGTTAAGTGGATTCTCCTGGATAAAAAGTTTGAAGGGATGTATATTGAGATAAGGGGACCAGTTTGAAGACTGCAATCATCGAGGTGAGCATAAATGAAAGCCTGAAAAAAGTCAAGGAATGGAGGCAAAAAAAGATTCAAAGATTTAGGAGGCCAAATCAACATAATTTAATGACAAATCAGATACTAGAGGGAAAGGAGAGTAAGAGAAACCAAGAAGCTGATTTCTGGCATTTTGGCTTGGGCAGTTAGATGATAGAGGAAATGAAATGTTCACGGTCATGTTAAATGTGAAATATCTACCTCTGGCACCATCTAGGGGGGTTAGCACTAAGTAGCTATATGGTCTGGAGCTTAGGAGAGAGGTTTAGTAAAGAATACTTACTACATGAGCATTCTCACATGTTCATAAGTGAATTGTTGGTTGAAGCAACAAGTAAATGTGAGGTTGCCTATTAGGAACATATAGAATGTGAAGAAATGAAGAGAAAGAAGAATGTTTAAAAAGATTGATAAGCCATGGAGGTAAGAAAAAAACTAAGACAACAGCATATCAGAGATTTCTAGAACAGGGGATAGGTTGGTATAAAACACCCAGAGAGGTCCAATAAATACTGATGGGTATGTTAGATTTGGAAACTGGGTGACTTAAGAACAGTTTTTAGAAAGCAGTGAGTGAATAATAAAAGCACTTTTTCCAAGAAATCTGGCTTTGAAGGGAAGGAGAGACAAAGACAGAAGGAATCAGTTCTCAAATTTGGTCTTGGTACCCTTTATACTCTTAAAAATTTCTGTGGACTCCAAAGAGCTTTTGTTTATGTTGGTTCTATCTACTAATATTTACCTTCTTAGAAACTGATACTGAGAAATTAAAAACTTACTTACTCATTAACTGATTAATAATAATGAACATACTACATGCTAGCATACATAATATATTTTGATAAAAATACATTTTCCAAAATAAATAAAAGTATGATATTATTTTAGTTTTGTAAATTTCTTTAATGTTCAACTTAATAGAAGACAGCTGGATTCTCATATCTGCTTTTGCATTTACTCTGCTGCAATATATTGATTTGGTTGACATATATAAAGAAAATCCAGCTTCACACAGACATATAGTTGGAAACACTATTTTATTTTTTATTTTTAACATTTATTTATTGCTGAGAGACAGAGAGAGACAGAGCATGAGCAGGGGAGGGGCAGAGAGGGAGGGAGACGCAGAATCAAAAGCAAGCTCCAGGCTCTGAGCAGCCAGCACAGAGCCTGATATAGAGCTTGAACTCCCAAAATGTGAAACCGTGACCTGAGCCGAAGTTCGGTGCTTAACCAACTGAGCCACTCAGGCGCCCCTGGAAACACTATTTTAATAGCCTTTCCACAAAGGAGATTTTTCTCTTTGACACTATAGTGAGACTTGATAAAAGACGGTTTCCTAAGCCATATCGATGAACTCTGTCTCATTAAAATTCATTGCATTCTGAACGAATCTTTTACTCATTAGTGATTTTGACCCTACACACCTCTTGAAAGGGACTTGGGAACCCCAACCACATCCTGAAAACTGCTGGTTTAAGATTTGCTTTAAGAGTTAAGCTTGGTTGGAGATAAAAAAAGGGATAGTAAATAGAGTATAGGTAAGGATGTCAGCCTTGAATAGAAGGAAAGTTTTTCTTCCAAACTGTGAAAAGGATTTGGAAACAGGTTTGGATACAGATATATTTGAAGGGAGAGGGAGATTTTCACACAATGTTATTTTCTTGGTGAAGCAGGAGGTGAGTTTATCTAGAGCTCAGTAAGATAACTGCCCAATGACCTTGAGGACCACTGGATAAATGCCTAGTATTTCTTCAAGCTCAATGCAAAAGGCACTATTGGCTTTCCCTGATAATCATCTCTTTTGCTCCAAACTGTCCCCAGTCATTCTTTTATATAACTTCTGTATAACAATTATCATATTTTATTGTTTATGTGTCTGTCCTCTCTCCTAGTTGGTGTGCTCTCCTACGCAGGGACCCAAACAAATTGAGCTTTAGTAGCTATTCAAAATATGTGTTGGATGAAAGACTGATTTTAAAATTTTAATTTAGTTTTTTTAAAAAGTCTACTTATTTATTCCAAGGCAGAGAGGGGCAGACAAAGAGGGAGAGAATCCCAAGCAGGCTGAAATACTGAATATTTCAGAATGTTGAAATAAATCAAATAAATCAAAGTAGACTGAGTGTCTACTTTGTGCTGGATACTGATCTAATTTCCTACACATTAGGAAACATTAGGAAAATAAGAAAAAATAACTGAACTCGTGGAGCTTATATTTTTAACAGAGGAAGATAGGCAATAAGCAAATAAACTCCATACTATGCTACACAGTGCGGACAAAAATAGAGAAGGGGTTTCATTTTTAAATAGGGTAGTCAGAGCAGGCCTCAATAAAAAAGTGCCATGTGTTAAAGGTCTAACGAAATGGGAAAGTCAGACACTGGGATATCTGTGGGAGAAGTCTGGGGGCAAAAGAATACTAAATGTAAAGGTCTGGAGTGGGCCCACTCAGAACAGCAAGGAGAGGCTAAGTCTGGAGAGGAAGGAGCAAAAAAGTCTAAGATAAAATGAGAAGGTAGGAAAGTCACCAGGTCTCCTAGAGCCTATAGCCTTTGTATTGATTTTGCTCATCCTCTGAGTGAGAAGACAGTAGAGGCTTTAAGATCGAGAGACATATACTCTACATTCATGTCTTAAAAGGACACTGGGGTTGCTTCTGAGAAGAAGGGATATCAGAGTAAGAGTGAGAGGCAAGGAGGGACCAATTACTAGGGTACACCAACAATCCAGCTGGGAGGTGCTGGTGGCTTGGACCAGGGTGGTAGCAGAAAAGGTGCAAAGTCTTAGGATGCTGGATATTTTCTGAAGTAGAGCTAACACAATCCCAAGTGCTGATATGAAGGGCGAGGGGATTGCATGCACCAAGATTTTTGGTCTGAACGTTTCCCAACATTTACTAGGATGAAGAAGACTGTGTAAGGTGCAAGCTTGGCCCCCACGACCAGGAGCTTGGATTGGACAGGCAGAAAGCAAACTTCAAATGAGTGTTCAGCATGAGAGAATAAAGGAAGTATGAACTTTCTGACGGGTCTCTTCAAGGATTACCCTTAGAAAGGGAAAAGGCTGACTTTTAATATTCTCCACTCTCAAGGCTCCTTAGGCAGATAGGTTTTACAGGCACAAACAGAACCTTCAGTTCCCATTTTAAATAACATTTTCTCGCTTTCTCAGGGTCTGCTTTTTATCCCTTTGTTTTCTCTCTTGCTCCAGGCTGTCAGGTGTCCTTTTCCCATCTGATAATGTACTTACCTGATCCTGACAGCCCTCTCCAACTTTCCAATTTCCTGGAATCTTGGAAGCCAGAGTGACAAGTTAATTAGAATCCTGCGGAGGCCCAGAATGCTTTCCACGCCAGGAGCATCTCTGCCCAGAGCCGGCCTTACTTCCTGGTTCTCAGGAAAAGAGGCTCATTTCGTAAACTGGTTCCCGCAACACACCGCCTGGGTGTTGAGAAACAGGAGGCGAGGTCTGAATGAGCCACACAATGAACTTGGTGACGCCTCTCCACGCCCCAGGTTCCTCCCCAGGTGCGATTCAATTTTTGATCCTCGGGAACCCACCCAAGATTTTAGCCTGGAGCAGGCTGTGCCCACACAACCTACTTCCTCTCTAACTTTTCTCACTGTGCGATTTTCCTTCCGAAACCGTCCCTCAACAACCCTGAGGCAGAGGGATGGAGGCCGGAGCGCAGACCTTGGACTACCTGTTAAAAAGGAGCGCACGGCTGGAATCCCTTACCTGCCCAGTATCGGGGCGTCAGGGCGGCAAGGGCACCGCCCAGCTGAGCCCGCTGCGGGGGAACCCGGGCTCGGAACAGCACCAGAGAAGAAAAAGGCCAACCTCCTAGTTCCCGCCTGAGACCCCGCCCACGTCCTGCCCCGCCCCTCCTCTTTGCACTTCCCGGCGGCTCTGCAGCGTGAGAGATTCCGGGTCTCGCGTAAGGCTCTTCTTTAAGTGGCGACCTGCCCCTTTAATTATGCTGCTGTCGGAGGCTAAGTATTTTTAGCGCTTCCGGACATGCGCACAGCTTTGTGCCCTGGAATTCCTTAACCTGGACGTGAGGTAGAGCGTGTCAGTCTTGCGAGTTGTGGCGTTTCTGTGGGGGGCAGTGACGAGATTTGTATGGGACCCCCGACTTTTTGCCCGCAAAAGGAGGGCGACGTCGGCTAGTATCGTGCGTTGGGACAGGCGGGGGTAGTGGAGGGAGAAGTAAGTGGAGCCATTGGCTGTGTCTGGGGGTTACTTTTGGATTAGCCAGACGGCAACACCGCCAGAGACTGGTTCTGCAAATTGGTGACAGAAAGCAAGTAGGACTGAGTTCGGCTGAGCGTTGGCATTGGAAGAAAGAGCATGAGGGGAAAAAGCATTACCTGCTGCGTTTCTAACATCTTCCCAGAGTCTGCCCTCAACCAACAATTACCCTGTTCTGGGTTAGGTAAACTACCCACTCCCCTCTCCATCCTGCACCCTCATCAAGAAATCTGTTTAGGAACACGGCACATTTGTGTTTAACTCCACGTGGGCTCCTTGGCTCCCTCCAGCTCAGTTACATTCTTTTATCAGATGATTGTTGTAATTCCCTGATCATTACGTTCTTCCCAAGTTCTACCTATTCTAGTAGTTTAGAATGCCTTCACATCTCCTTTTTACTGGGAGAGATCATTATTCTTTACAAGAACAATCCTAAAACAGTGCTCTTGATCACACTGCTTCAGAACTCTTGGAATTCTTCATCACATTCATCCTGCTCAGTGCCATTATTCATCTTATTAAAACAGCTTTTTGGATGGTGTCGTTTTTCTACTCCAGCACCTCCAGTAGCCATGTATTGGGCACTCAATGGATTCTCAGTCCTTGGCAGGGCATTCACTAGCAGTTTGGCCCTAATCCAAACTGTATTTTCTAGAACTATACTATAAGGCATTGCTCCTGTATCTGGGCTTTTCAGTTTTCCCTGAGACACTGCATACTTTGTTTGTATGTTACTTATGATACGTCTTTACCTTATTTCTATCTCTTGAATCATTTTGAAGACTTAGACAGCCATTTCTTACATTATGCCTTTTCTGATTATCATAAGCAAAAGTGATCTCTTGTTTTCTTCCTCTTCACTCTAACAGGTCTAGTTTCATATACTCAACAATCAGTATTGGTTGCATGCTTACTATATGCTTGACACTTTTCTAAATGTGAGATGATCAATTCGGCAGACAAGGTTCCTGCTCCCAGAGAGCTAACTTTGTAGTTGTGAGAAATATACCATAAATAATAGAGAAGATTATTAGATAGAAATGCTGTGCAGAAAACTGAATAGAGTTTGGTGGAAGAGTGCCTTGCTGGTTCCTTTACATTATTAGTCAGGGAAGACCTCTGTGAGGATGTCATTGGGGAAGGACTAATTTAATCAGCAGGAACAGTTAACACAAAGGAACTGAAGGAAGCTGGTGTAGTTGGGAGTGTAGTGGGTACTGAAGAAAGGGTACAAGATAAATTTGGGGAATAAATAGAGGCCAGAATCAAAGAAGTCTTTGGAAGCCAGGGTAAGTACTTTGGATTTCATTATAAGTGTGATTAGAGGTTTTAAGGAGGATTGTGATATTACTTAATTTACCTTTAAAATCATCATTCTGGCTATGTGGAGAATGGCCTATAGTAGCAGAAGCAGATTAGAGGCCTTCACAATGTATAAGAATTTCTGAGGTGGAAGTACTACATGATTGAAGGACAGCCATCGTGTACTGTCATCTCTGACAGTAATCAGAGAGCCAGATGCTTAAAGCCGATGAGAAAGTCAGCTTGGGGATGCGAAAGTCAAGGTTGTGACCAAAATGAAGTGGAAGTGGATTGAGGTTGAGATCAAGGAACTGAGGGACAGTGGTGTTAAATAGATGACGCATGTGGATGGACCTGAAAGCCATGCTGGGTAGGAAGACAGTGAGGGAGGCATTAAAGGTGTCAGTGATGAGCACTGAGTGTTATGTAGAAACTAATTTGACAATAAACTATTTGTAAAAAAAAAAAAAAAAAAAAAAAAAAAAAGGAAGCAAAAAAAAAAAAAAAAAAAAAAAAAAAAAAAAAAAGGTGTCAGTGAATGAAGAAGAGGCATCTGGGGAATCAAAGCAGAAGATGACAGCAGATGGTAGAGCCTAATGGCATAAGCTTCAAAGGAGCTCGGATTTGGGGAGGTAGAGGAAGGAAAAATGGTTTGGAGCTGTGACAAATAGAATATATTTACCATCTCTAGGTCCTAAGGTAGGTTGGTATGAAAGTCCGCCTTCACTGGAGGGGACTAGAGAAGCCTGGGGAAATAGTCAGATTTCAGTTATAGCAAGAAACTGAGGAGACAGTGCAGGAAATTATGGAAAGAAGGAAAAGAAATATATCATCATGTAGTCTAAGAAATTAAGATATGGAGAATTTGCAGTGATTCCTACATGGCATAATTCAGGAGTGGGGGGCTTTGCTAAATTGGTTCAGATTGGTAGTATACATTGTAGAAATGGGGTGAAGGCCCAAATGATGACAGATGACCTAGAGACTGTGGTTAATACACAGAACTGAGTAGTATGGGGCCCCTGGACATTATATCTTTCATATAACTCTGTCTGATATGGTAGCCATGGGCTGTGTGAAGGGTGAGTAAAGGCTCCTTCAGAAGATTTTCTTACCTACTGCTTCAAGAAAGTCTGTAAGGGTTTTTTTCTCTTTGATGCCCGTGGTATGGTTGGAATTTTTCTGTGGGTCAACCTCAAACGCTTGTGTCTGTAAAAGTTTGTAACTGGACTGTCAAGAAGGTTTAAAATTCTGGATTAATTTAAGCCTATTTTGAAGCATAATCACACTGCAAGTTGGTGTTTAGAATTTCATTTATCTATCAATTTGGACTATTGCTTCCTGTCTTCTAGTCCCTTCTCTCATCTCTAACCCCTAATATATAAAAATCTAGCCACAAATTCTCTGGAATTAGCTAGAAATTTTCAGGGATGGAGTTTAGACAAATCATTATTTAAGTCCTATGTTCTGATCTCTTCTTTGTGGGCCTACAAATGGTATTTTAAAAAATAATTTATTTTTTAATTTCCATCCAAGTTAGCATATAGTGCAACAATGATTTTAGGAGTAGATTCCTTAATGCCCCTCACCCATTTACCCCCTCCCATCCCTTCAACCTCTCCAACAACCCTCTGTTTGTTTCCCATATTTAAGGGTCTCTTATGTTTTGTTCCCCTCCCTGCTTTTATATTATTTTTGCTTCCCTTCCCATATGTTCATCTGTTTTGTATCTTAAAGTCCTCATAGGAGTGAAGTCATATGATACTTGTCTATCTCTGACTAATTTTGCTTAGCATAATACCTTCTAGTTTCATCCACGTAGTTGCAAATGGCAAGATCTCATTCTTTTTGACTGATGAGAAATACTCCACTGTATATATACCACATCTTCTTTATCCATTCATCCTTGATGGACATTTGACCTCTTTCCATACCTTGGCAGTTGTTGATAGTGTGCTGTAAACATTGAGGTACATGTGCCCCTTCAAAACAGAATACCTGTATCCCTTGGATAAATACCTAGTACTGCAGTCGCTGGGTCATAGGGTAGTTCTATTTTTAATTTTTTAAAATGTTTTATTATTTATTTCTAGGAGAGAGAGAGACAGCGTGAGCAGGGGAGGGTCAGAGAGAGGGGGAGTCACAGACTCTGAAACAGGCTCCAGGCTCTGAGCTGGCAGTCAGCACAGAGCCCGACGCGGGGCTCGAACCCACGAACCGCGAGATCATGACCTAAGCGAAAGTCGGACGCTTAACCGACTAAGCCACCCAGGCGCCCCTATTGTTAATTTTTTGAGGAACCTCCATACTGTTTTCCAGAGTGGCTGCACCACTTTGCATTCCCACCAGCAGTGCAAAGGAGATCCTCTTTCTGCATCCAATATCAGTTGTTGCCTGAGGTGTTAATATTAGCCATTCTGACAGGTGTGAGGGGGTATGTCATTGTGTTTTTGATGACAAATGGTGGTATTATTATTATTTTTTAATACAAATAATATTTTTAAAGCGGACTTGAAACTGACCCATTTTAATCCTGAATAATAAATGAAAGCTTGGAATGGGTGAAAGTAAAGTTGCAAATCTTCAATTACACAATAGGAAGATTGCCTATTAGTTCATCTGGGTATAGGAGGGTCAAAATACACATGATATATAGAAATAAATTGTCTTTTAAGGGGACCAGGATTGAAAAGGAGAAAGAAAAACGAATCCTGCAAATATATTTCTTTCTTGTTATCTATAACTTTTCTTTTGGGTAACTGACTGCCTCTTTGTTTCTTTTGTAGGCATTGTTATTTAAGAATGGAAGAGGATACAGATTTTAGAATCCGGTTTAGTTCTTTGTGTTTTATTACTGATCATGTTGGATTTCATGGCACTATTAAAAGCTCACCAAGTGATTTTGTTGTTATAGAGATTGATGAACAGGGACAGTTAGTTAATAAGGCATCCAATGAACAGATTAGTAAAGTACTACCTGAGCCAAATAACTTTGCCAAAAAGACAAAACTTGATCTTCAGAATTTATCCTTTGAAGAGGGAAGTAACCAAGAAGTTAATATTTTTGTTGGGCGCTCTGGTGATGACCAGAATCACCAGTCTGGTTCAGAAAAGGAAGATCGTATCAGTGATGGAAGTTCCAAAGGCAAAGAAGAAAAAGTTGATGTTTTAGGCACCTTGTTAGATGAAAAAACTAATGAACTACTGAATCACTTTGCCTGTGATATAAAAGAGAAGTTGAATTCTAAAACTGAGCTAATTGGATCATCTCCTGAATTTTCATTAGTCAGAATCCTTGACAAAAACCAGAGGGCTATTCTGCACAGCGCTGTTAGGCAGAAATTTCCTTTTTTAATAACTGTAGGTAAAAACAGTGAGATTGTTGTAAAACCAAATCTTGAGTATAAGGAACTCTGTCACTTGGTATCTGAAGAAGAAGCAATTAACTTTTTTAAGTATTTGGATGCAAAAAAAGAAAATTCCAAATTTACCTTTAAACCAGATACAAACAAAGACCACAGAAAAGCTGTCCACCATTTTGTCAACAAAAAGTTTGGAAACCTTGTGGAAACCAAATCTTTCCCTGAACTCAATTACAGTGCTGACAATCCAAATGTAGCAATAACAGTAAGATTTCGGGAAAAAACACACAAGCACAGGAAGAGGTCTCTTTTTGAGTGCCAGGATCGAAAAGATATATACACAGGTAATTTAATAAATAATTATCATTTTCTTCAACAAACTTAGTTAAAATTGTATGAAAGATGAATAATTTCAAATGAATTAAATAGAATTAACCCGAGGGCTCTTGGAAAAAATATTTAGGTCTGGTTTTTAGTGGAAGGTAAAGCCTTTCAAATTACACTAATTTTAAGAATTAGCCTTACTGATGAAAGTATGGTTAGCATAGATCTTATGGTTCACATAGGCACAAATGTATAAAGTTGAAGCAGTTAGTGTGTTAATGTTATATTGGAGATAAATCTTGATTTCATCTTTAAAAATTTTAAATTAAAATTAAGTATTCAGAGATAAGTAGAATACATCTGCTATGCTTTGTTTTCCCAAAGTGAAGAGAATATCTTGTTATCTAAAACAATTGAAGTTCATGTAAATTAAACAATAAATAAATTAAAAAAATAAATAAAACATTCAAACCTCACTACCCAAGGTAGAGAGCCTGAAAACTTACAAGGAGTTCCTTCCTGGCTCAGTCACTTATTTAGAGAGGTGGTTCCCAAACTTTAACATGCAGTAAAATCTCAAAAAGGGCTTGTTAAACAAATTTCTGAGCTCTGTTCTCAGAATTTCTGATTTAGAGGGTTTGGGGCAAGGCTTTTTACAAATTCCCAGGTGATGCTTTTTCTACTGGTCTAGGTAACACATTTTGAAAATCACTGTTTTAGCAGGTATATTCAATTCCTAGGATTGGATGGAACTGATGAAATATGTTTAAGTTTATTCATTTATTTTGAGAGAGAGAGTGTGCATGTTTATGGGGTCATGCTCACATGAGTGGGGGAGGGGCAAAAAAGAGAGGGAGAAAGAGAATCCCAAGCAGGCTTCTCACTGTCAGCACCGAGTTCAACATGGAGCTGGTTCTCATGAATTGAACTGTGAGATCATGACCTGAGCAGAAATCAAGGGTAAGATGCTTAACTGACGGAGGTACCCAGGGCACCCCTAATGAAACCTTGTTCTTAAAGTTTGGTTGACCAGGTTTAATTGGCTTGTATCTTACATGAAGGATGGGAAGTATTTCAGGTGGTCATGTTTTATAGATTTATACAGTAAAGCTTTTTTGGGGGGGTTTAAACACATTATTTATTATTTATCTGTTTAAAGTGTTTATTTTAATCACTCAGTGCTCATCATAATACTCCTTAATCCCTATCACCTATTTCACCCATCCCCACATACACCTCCCCTCTGAAAACCATCAGTTTGTTCTCTGTAGTTAAGAGTCTGTTTCTTGGCTTGTCTCTCTTTTTTCCACTTTGCTCATTTTTTTTGTTTTGTTTCTTAAATTCCACATATAAATAAAATCATATGGTATTTGTCTTTCTCTAACAGACTTTTTTCCACTTAGCATTAGTCTAGCACCATCTATGTTGTTGCAAATGGCAAGATTTCATTCTTTTTTATGGCTGAGTAATATTCCATTGTATATGGTGTATACAGAAGTGTATCCTCCTCTTTATCCATTCATCAATCCATCAGTGGACAGTTAGGTAGCCTGCTTGTCTTGCCTATTGTAAATAATGCTGCATGGGTACATGCAACCTATGGGTGCATGTATCCCCTTGAACTAGTGTTTTTGTACTCTTTGGGTAAATACCCAGTAGTGAAATTGCTGGGTCGTAGGGTAGTTCTATTTTTAACTCTTTGAGGAAACTTCGTACTGTTTTCCACAGTGGCTGTACCAACATCCACATTCATACCAACACCTTTTGTTATGTTGTTGATTTTAGCCATTCTGAGAGGTGTGAAGTAATAGCTCATAGTAGTTTTGATTTGCATTTCCTTGATGATAGGTGATGATGCACATATTTTCATGTGTCTGTTGACCCTGTATATCTCTTTTGGAGAAATGCCGGTTCATGTCTCCTCCCCATTTTTTAATTGGATTATCTGTTTTTTGGGTTTTCTGTTATATCAGTTCTTTATATATTTTGGATACTAACCCTTTATTGGATATGTAATTTGCAAACATCTTTTCCTATTCTGTAGGCTGCCTTTTCATTTTATTGATTGTTTCCTTTGCTCTGCAGAAGCTTTTTATTTTGATGTAATCCCAATACATTTAATCCATTTTGAATTTATTTTTGTGTTTGGTGTAACAAAGTATGAAACAAAGCCCAGTTTCATTCTCTTGCAGGTAGCTGTCCAGTTTTCCCAACACCATTTGTTTTTCCCATTGAATAGTCTTTCCTGCTCTGTCAAAGATTAATTGACCATATTATTGAGGGTTCATTTCTGTGTTTTCTATTCTCTTCAATTAATCTATGTATCTGTTTTTATGCCAGTACCATACTGTTTTGATCACTATAGATTTGTAATATAACTTAAAGTCCCAAACTGTGATGCCTCCAGTTTTGCTTTTCTTTTTCAAGATTGCTTTAGTTATTTGGTGTCTTTTTTGGTTCCATACCAATTTTAGGGTTAGTTCTGTAAAAAATACTGGATATTTTGATGGAGATTCTATTAAATGTATAGATTGCTTTGGGTAGTATAGATTTTAACAATGTTTGTTCTTCCAGTCCATGAGCATGGAGTGTTTTTCTGTTTTTTTGTATTGTCTTTAATTTCTGTCATCAGTGTTTTATAGTTTTCAAAGTATAGATCTTTCACCTCTTTGGTTAGGTTTATTCCTAAGCATATATTATTCTTTTAGGTGAAATTATAAATGAGATTATTTTCTTAATTTTTCTTTCCCCTGCTTCATTATTGGTATATAGGAATGCCACATATTTCTGTACATTTATTTTGTATGCTGTGACTTTAGTGAATCCGTTTATTAGTTCTTGCAGTTTTTTGGTATAATCTTTAGGTATTCTATATGTAGTATCATGTTATCTGCAAACAGTGAACATGTAACCTCTTCCTTACCAATTTGGATCCCTTTTATTTCTTTTTGTTGTGTAATTGCTGTGGCTAGGACTTGTAGTATTATGCTGAATAAAAGTGAGGAGCATGTGAATCCTTGTCTTGTTCCCGATCTTAGGGGAAGGGCTCTCGGTTTTTCCCCATTAAGGATGATGTCCACTGTGGGTTTTTCATATATGGCCTTTATTATGCTGAGGTATGTTCCCTCTAAACCTATGTAGTTGAGGGTATTTATCATGAATGGATGTTGTACTTTGTCACATGCTTTTTCTGTGTATATTGAAATGATCATATGATTCTTATTCTTTCTCTTATTGATGTGATGTATCACATGGATTGGTTTGCAAATATTGAACATCCCTTGCAACCCAGGAATAAATCCCACTTGATTGTGGTGAATGATTTTTTTTAAAATGTATTGTTGGATTTGGTTTGTTACTATATTGCTGAGGATTTTTGCATCTCTTTCATCAGAGATACTGGCCTTGTACAGCAAAGCTTTTTAAATGAAAGAAGTACATGCACAGATTGCATGTGGCACAGAAAAAGGATTGTAACATATAGGGATTGTGTGGTATCAATGAAGAGATTGGGCCTTGAATGTAGGGCCCTAAAAGAATTTGTATTATGACTTCAGTTCAAAAAAGATGCATGAACTTTTAAATATCTTTAAGATTTAATTTCCATAAATATAAAAATGGAAAGAATAATATCATGAGCAAGTTACTTAACAACATGGGCATATTACTTAAGTTACTTAACAACAACTTTTGGTTGTACTTTAAAAATGAGGTAATAGTAAAACCTAATTCACAATCACATTCTAATAATTAAATGAAATAATGAAAATGTTTAATATACAATAGTTATCCAAATGTTGGTGTCTTCTCTCCTGGAAATTTCTGGTTGTATGGCTTGTCTTATCCATGAGAAAGTTGCTGGTATGGGACTTGACACGTGAGGCATGCAATAAATGGTAACAGATAAATCTGTTTTGAAGGAAAAAACAAAATTACTTTTACATGTGGAAGGGAGAATTGCACATAAGTGATTTAAGCAGTTATAGATTTTATACTATTTGAAATTCTAATAGTATTACTTTGAATTAATGAACTAAAAAATTATGGAAAATTTTTATGTATTAGTTTAAATTAGTTTTACAAAAACTGTGAGTACTTAGAGGGATATGTTAAGGGGGAGAATTGATGGTACTATTCCAGAGAATAGTATAAAGATACTAGGATATCCACAAGTCCAAGAACAAAGAAGAGGACAAAGGTAAAGTATGCCTGTCCTAGATTTTTCAAAGGCCAACCTTTTTTGAGAACAAAAACAGCTCATATATTAAAAAAATTCTTAATAAATAAGCTTATCTAAAAAGTAGAACACTTAAAAATCTTTTTAGTTATAAAATACACATAACAAAATTTACCATTTTAACCACTCTTTAAAAAAATTTTTTTTAATGTTTTATTTTTTATATTTGAGAGAGACAGACCATGAGCAGGGGAGGAGCTGAGTGAGGTGAGGATAGAATCTGAAGCAGGCTCCAGGCTCTGAGCTGTTAGCACAGAGCTTGACGCAGGGCTTGAACTCACAAGCAGTGAGATCATAACCTGAGCCGAGGTCAGATGCCTAGCTGAGCCACCCAGGTGCCCCCCGCCCCCCGCATTTTAACCACTCTTAAGTATAGAGTTCAGTGGCATTGAGTATATTCACATTGTTATACAACCATTTCCATCATTTATCTCCAGAACTCTTTTATCTTTCCAAATTGAAACTGTATACCCATTAAACAGTAACTGGCCATTCTCCTCTCCCCCAGCCACTGGCAACCACCAGCCTGGTTTCTGTCTCTATGAATTTGACTACTCTAGGTATCTCAGGTAAGTGGAATCATAAAATATTTGCCAAGTTGTGATTGGTACATATCACTTAACTGAAGATCTTCAAGGTTCATCTATGTTGTACATGTGTTAGAATTTCCTTCTTTTAAAGACTGAATGATATTGTATGTATATATATCACATTTTATTTATCCATTCATCTGCCAATGGACATGGGTTATTTCTATCTTTGTCTGTTGTGAATAATGCTGCT